CATGGTCATTCCCTGTTAGAAATCCCCCATAGTCCCTAGTGAAATTGCTTAGAATTTACAACCATCCCTAGTTTCTTCCTCTTGAGTCTCTGAATGTCCTTTCTAGAACTTTAGAAAACAATGATTGAGCATCACCTAATAATTTTGATCATTTTCTGTTAATAAAATGCTTTCAAATTGCCATTTTGTTAACTTTATTAAACAAATCCTTCAAGTAACTTAACTCACCTTTCCTATTGGTGGAAAGGTCCTTATAATTGAAAAAAAAAAGATTCAGAATGAAAACATTGATACCTTTTTCATCAATCTTAAATTATACATTAAAACATATATGCACTCCATAAACTCTGGCTATTTCATGATAAACTGATAACATGAAATGCTCTGCAAATAAACTTTCAAATGAGACAGTGAATAGTTTTGCTTCAATAAAAAGGCACTTCCAATAGCTTAAGGAGTTTGAATCATAAACTTTCTAACAGGCAAAGGTAGGTTTTATTGACACTAAATTATGAATTCACACTCTGACTTTACTAGCATTGTAATCTGCATTCTGAGGACCAGACAGCCTTTATGAAACACACGTTCAGTTAAAATTCAGATTTCACTCCCCGCTGTAAGAAAGACTAGCTTTAAGTTCTCCCTTGATCCACTGGGGGAGAGTAAAATAGTAACTTGGTGTTTGTTGACAAGTCATCTCCGCTGGAATCTCAGGGTGTTTTATAACCATGTTAAATGTTACTAGTTACATTTCCCTTCTCTTGCACATGAATATGCACACAGACTAGTAGGTATTTAAAAAGCAAGCGAAACTTGAACGGTGTCAACAGCAGATATTTCTGCAATACCCATCCCCCACCCTCACCACCCAAGGGTATTAGAGAACAACTGTTCTTCCTGATCAGGGATTTGGCCAAACTCAAGTTTCTTTTCAAATGAATACTAAAATACCAAGTTGTTATATCCTCAAATAAATGTAAGAGAAGACAAAAGCAATGAAAAAAGAAAATTTCAGCATTGACGGATATATACAAAGTCTGAATCTCAAATGTCAATCTAAAACTCTCTGCAATTTTAAGTAGTTACATTTAAATTTGTCACGGAGTAAAGCTGCTGGGTTATATCTTAACTACTCTGGGGGAAAGATTTAAACATATTTTTTACCCCGATCACAATTCCACTGTCCTACAAAATCAAGTGATGATCCACTGGCTTATTTGTTCTTATTTTTGCTAGATGATGACTCTAGTTTTTATTGAGCCAAGAAAAAAGTGAAGTTATATTTATTCTAAAGTTTCAAAAAATTATCTCTTAAGACAAAGGGTATTATTTGATGAGGTATGTGAAATAAGATGATAAAAGAAAGAGACTTATTGGAAAAAAGACAACCTCACAGTATAGGAAGATGGAGTCTGTGGGAGAGGCAAAGAAAGTATAATGAAAAACGGATGCAACACTGTTTCTATCAGTTACAATAATAAAGTGTTCTGTGTACTACCAAACTCTTTTACTGCTATACAATTTGCAAAATAATATGTTTGCACACCCACCTGCTGTCTTTCATTACATACAACCCTGCTTTGGCTTCTGCCAAATTAATTTCCATTTATTTGATATTCTAAAATAATTAACAAGATAGCTGACAGTACATTTTTGATACATGGTTTTTATTATTTCACAGAAAAATCACCTCTTGTTAGAAGTGAGAAGTATGAAAAGGAAACCAAAGAACTACAGATTTGAAAGTGAGTTTTGGTCCTTGATTTATCCTTTTACCAAATGTCTTTACTTTTGGTATAATCAGAAAGGCAATAAAGATTTTCTGCGTGTAAGGAAGGATCTTCTGACAATTAAGTTCGAGAACTTGTTGCAACACATGTTGCTAACTGTTTTTGATATGAGAGGGATTATTCATTATGAGTTTGTACCAACTGGACAAGCGTTTAACCAAGTTTACTATTTGGAAGTGCTGAAAAGGCTGC